TCCCAAACCGTCGGTGAACGAAACTGCGGCAACTACAACCACTGTACGACGAGTACGCGGTTATTACGGCTGACAATGATGATGATGATCTAGGCCTGGACAGCCTGGTAGAATTTCACCGCCGGAGCATTCTTCGGGTGGCAGGGTGTTACACCTGGACGACTGTATCATTGTTACTATTAGTATTATTATATACAAGGCCTACATACATTCGGCTGGGTTGTGCTACTTCAGAAACAACAAAAACAACACGAATTATGATGGGAACCGTTTACACAATGCGCTATCAAGGCCCGTTTATGAAACAGACTAAACAGAATCTTCATCACCCAGGTCAAGCATTCATTCTCGCGCATTTTGATTAAACATGTCTATCTAGCCGCAAAAGTGAAGAATGCCAATTTCGCATAGGCTCGAGGTACATCTATAATTCGGGTTAAGGTGGGTCTGTGGTCTGTGAGTGTTAATTAGGCGGTGATAAACATCTAAGAAAGATAGATCTAACTATCCTGTTCTGCCGTCCGTTCCCTCTATGAACTTGAACGAACACTAACCTATAATTTTGTGAGAGTTGCTGTGTACAACGTTCTGCAGGGGCATGGAGCGTCAGCAAGACCAGGGTGTTTTTGAACAGGCACTCAGTAGACACGCACTTACTGTGTGAAGAACCAAGCAAACACCCACCAGAAGCAGTCAAACCTACTTGGCAACTTTCTTCAAATTACGATAGGTAATTCGTCCAGAGTCATCATCGTCAAACAATTTGAAGGCGCGAATAATCTCCGTGGTAGGGTCCCGATCAAGAATCATATCGGTGACTGAGGGAAACGGGAGGATGAAGGCAGAAAACGAGACCAAGATAGGTAGCGACGAGCAAAATATGGGAACCAGATGGAAAGACGGTTTGTTCGAAACCCGTCAAATTTGACCTTACAACCATAGCATGAAGTCAAAATATCATCCCCGAACTACGAATGATTTACTCATCAATCAGCCATGACATTTGTAAGCAGGCGGAAACTGGCAAAAAAATACAATTTCGGGTGCAGTCAAACAGCCAGCACATGGAGTGTTCGGGATCATGGAATCGGGCGCACCCCAGGGTGCGGCAGGAGAAGAGCCTCACTTTTTTTTACGCGATATTAACTGTAAGTTACCCAATTTTGGTAAGTAAGCAGTCGCGTAAAAGCTGCCGATGCACTTATAAAACACAACAGACATTGTAGCTGGTAATCTGAACCCTTGAAGAGTGAAACAAGCTCAATGACGGTACTGTATCAAGACCGGTGTGACTGTCTACAGGGGTCAATGACCCTCCTTTACATAAGACAGAACATAAGTCCATATGCAAGCGAACGGACCGCTTCACATGTCAGATTTATCGGAGGCGGCAATCAGAAGGATCTTTTGGCTTGACCGTAAACGGTTCCTCCACAGGAGGCGATATGGATGCTCGTAATGCACACATCACTCGGCGTGAATATGGACTGACTCATTGAGCGCCCAACAACATGTGTTCTTGGGTGTAAGGTGCATAAATTAAATTCACGATCGCCAAGACCTCGATTAGCTGTCCTGCATGTTAGCTTCCTCAGTTTCCCAAACGAACCGCCTACACCGGTTAGTATCTCGTCCGCAGGAAAACCACGTCACAAGAACGAAAGAACACAACCTGGCTTACTTTCTAAGCTATTGGTGATTTGAATCCTGCCAACGAGACTGATTTATCTTGACGGTCTTCTGCGCTCCTGTCATTGAAGCCTATCGCAGCAGACTAGAAAAATGCAATGTTTTGTTCGTTCACATATTCTCTCAAACTGGTCCCCTTCAACATTCGTTCTTCCATATCAACTGGAAGACAGAACCGTTGATTTATGCCCTAGACGGATCAAGTTGCTTATAGGTCCAGTGGCTTTTGATGTATTCCTTGAGCTAGCTTGAAAACGTCTCATCGCGACATCATCAGTGCGCGGTTGGGTGAGCTCTTACCTGCTTGCGTTCACATAGTTCATAAAACTGTAGAGAAAGCGGAGTGAAACTTACCTATTTCATTAAAATCCTCAAACGACAGCCCACCGCCATCCTCTTTGATGTTGTATTCCTCGAGGATCTGTAGGACCTCCGACTTTTTCAATTCAAACCCGAGGGCACGCAGGGCAACCTGAATTTTGGGGTATTGTTTAACTACTCGTGAGTAGTTTAGATGACACCTTAAATTCATAGTAGCTGATCAGATGGTTCCTGTCCGTGTCGAACAAATCGAAGGCCTCCACAATCTCTTGCTTCTGTTCCGGGGTTAATTCTCGTCGCTTCCTGCGTCTTGTGTGTTCTATTGAAATTGGAGAGCAGATTTCTAGAATCACTTACAGTAAATAGCTACGGAAAAGGAACACAGTGCGGAACTCATATTGATCAGAAACAGTGGGTTGAAGAAAATGAGGTATTTATACAAAAACGCTTGAGACAGATTGACTAGTTCAGAAATGTTTCATTGGACCCTGTACCACTGGTTGGTTTTTCACTTTTCTAGGACTGGGACGCAGTGGAACGCGAGCTCTTATGGTCTTTTTGGAGGATCGTGCAGCCGTGTGCGGCATTCTCGTTGGCCACAAGCGTGCCACCAGCAATATTATTACGAGCTGAGGGTGAACGTATTCTTGCATTAGGTTGCGAAAAACTGGGTCTTCAAGAACCAACGATGATATGCTGTCTCAGTTTTGTCGCGTAGCACAAAGTGATATCATGCCCATAAACCCCGGCACGAATCCAAACCGATCCAGTCTTCAATCAGATGGACAGAAAAGCTATCTAGACATGCACGAAACGCATTTTTTTTATGCCAAGCAGCGCAGCACAGCACAGAAGGCTTGAGTAGGTACAGATCGACAACAGGAAACAGTGGCAAAACGCGTGTGCGGGTAATTTAGATGTCACTGGGTGGAGGTGCAGAAAGAATGCATGCCACGGAGATGGAGAACACCTTTTGATTATCTACAAAAGCTGGAATACCATATGCATTCCTATTGGGATATGAGGGTAATAAATGCGGGTAGTTAATGCTTCGTTCATGAAGGCTGGTGTGAAAGACGACCATCCACGCCTGAAACACCCCGCGGGGTGGGGTTCCTTGCATGGGATGGAAATAAGTTCTCCGACATTTCTGCGGACATTTTTGTGGTCTCAGTCAAGGTTAAGTTGCTTATTTTTTCACAGTTAAATAAGGGCAGTTTCACCTCTACGTACTTGTCACAGGCCCATATTTGTACCCCCAAACATGAACTTACCCTCTCTGTGAGGGTCAATTTATTGGCTATCTGTGGGGCAATCATGTTCCAAATGTCATTCTTCGATCAGTAGGATATCCAACGGAAAAAAATTCTCTTCTTTTCCTCTAACTTCTTCCATCTAACTCGACAGAGAGGAATTTAAAAAAAGCCTCTATGAAGGCTGGCCCACCTGGGTGGGTCTCATGAGGTGGGACGAATGGCAGTATACACAATTATTTACAACTGACTACTAAAGGCGGACGAGTAGCACACATGCATAAAATGACACCCATGTCACAGGATTCAATTTATGCGTTTTCTCTAGTTTGTGTAGCCTACAATTTTTTGAAGTGAGGCTCATCAGGTAGGCGTGTCTCCCGTGAGTAATTTAGATGTCACTGGGTGGAGGTGCAGAAAGAATGCATGCCACGGAGATGGAGAACACCTTTTGATTATCTACAAAAGCTGGAATACCATATGCATTCCTATTGGGATATGAGGGTAATAAATGCGGGTAGTTAATGCTTCGTTCATGAAGGCTGGTGTGAAAGACGACCATCCACGCCTGAAACACCCCGCGGGGTGGGGTTCCTTGCATGGGATGGAAATAAGTTCTCCGACATTTCTGCGGACATTTTTGTGGTCTCAGTCAAGGTTAAGTTGCTTATTTTTTCACAGTTAAATAAGGGCAGTTTCACCTCTACGTACTTGTCACAGGCCCATATTTGTACCCCCAAACATGAACTTACCCTCTCTGTGAGGGTCAATTTATTGGCTATCTGTGGGGCAATCATGTTCCAAATGTCATTCTTCGATCAGTAGGATATCCAACGGAAAAAAATTCTCTTCTTTTCCTCTAACTTCTTCCATCTAACTCGACAGAGAGGAATTTAAAAAAAGCCTCTATGAAGGCTGGCCCACCTGGGTGGGTCTCATGAGGTGGGACGAATGGCAGTATACACAATTATTTACAACTGACTACTAAAGGCGGACGAGTAGCACACATGCATAAAATGACACCCATGTCACAGGATTCAATTTATGCGTTTTCTCTAGTTTGTGTAGCCTACAATTTTTTGAAGTGAGGCTCATCAGGTAGGCGTGGTCTCCCGTGAAAACCAAATTGATTTGAAAATGAATGCATTTGTCGAAATTAGTCCAATTTGGGCTCAAGTAGAACATAAGGTTGATGGAAACTGGAGAACTTAGCCTTTCTGATGAGCCCCAAGAAGGGAGAAACCGGTCGTGAGCTGTCGAAGAGTTTTCAGCAATTTTCAGCACCCTTGTGAGCAGCTTTCTTCATGAAAATATACTGCGATATCTCGAATACCCTACCAACTGAAACATGGGGCGGCCGGTGTGCGGCACATTCAGTTGAAAAACATCATAAACGAGGGATTCACTCAAGTCTCCCGTGAAAACCAAATTGACTTGCGTACTTGCGCGGGATGTTGCCCTTTTTTTACCAACATAACGTTATCTCAGACAGCACACGTCATTGGATTTTATAAAACACCTCAAGTTTTATCCCAAAACGGTTTAGAAGGAGCTAATCTCACGATGTCCACCGAATGATTCCCATTCAAATACAAGTGAATGGGGTAGGAGCGACCCCCATGTTAGACCAATTCTTGTACAATTGAAAAACTCAACGACGGGGAGTCACTATCGATGTCGGAGTACAAGTGAGCATAGTGCGCGATTTTTCACCCAACTTTTCGCTTTGCTCTGCCGAGACATCTAGTGCAGTGCTTGTTTGGGGTCGGGAGAGGGGGTCTTAATCTCAAGTCAAATCTCGAAAACCAGAGTAAGATGGTCTTAGTTAGGGAGTGTTCTACGTTGGGAATGAGCCTGTTGAGGGTATTGTTGTACACGAAAGACCTATGAAAATCATCTGATAGGATTACACGCACCGTCAGCTGGGGGGCAAGAGGGCTCAGTGTGGTTAGAGCGCGAATTTACTGACCGGTTCGAACACGACCTCTGCCTCTCGACTTCTCCTGTCTACGCTTGAGCAACCTGGAGTATCACAGCCCTCGTGCTCCTTTCGGAGGGAGTGGCGGCTAGGCACCGAAAGGGTGGCACACCTAGGAGATTTCGATACCATCATCTGATGAATCGTATTGGATTCCAGTAGTTCCAAAAAGACGTTTTTGATCGGTGCTGAACAGTCACCTATCCTCAGGCCTGAGAACCAGTCCGAACAATGATGAATGTAGTCTACTATTGATAGTCATGAGCTCCGTCTAGGTCACACGTTTTGATAGAAGCATGCTGATCCATATACACATGAGGGGACCTAATATCCTGAATATATATCTAGTCCAAGTGGTTCCATACTCAACTCAGCTCAACTCGTTCAGCCGTAGCATCCTTTCGGTGCCTAGCTGCCATGCTAACAGAAGGAGGCATGAGGGCTGAGATACCGCCGGGTTGACCAAGCCTAGACAGGGGGAGTCGAGATGTGGAGGTCGCGTTCGAACCATGGACCTTTCGGTCAGTAAATTCGCGCTCTAACCGCTGAGCCATCTCGCCATCACGGAATATTCACATGGCGATAACTACTCGTGCGGAACGCTTGGGACTAGAAATAGTCTTCGGATACACAAGTTGTCGGCAATTATCACGTAAGGTTAATAGCCAGAAAAAAGAAGCTACTGAGGAGTAATGAGGGGGAGCATCATGTACCCATTGAAAGATGGCCCACGCACACAAGTACATCTCGTAGGAACTGACGGAGCAGGGTTTTCAGCTACTTGTCTAATTTGAAGATAAACACATTTGTCGTGGAATACTCGCAACGATCTGTTTAACGATCGTTCCATTTTTACAAATTATCCCCACCGTGCTCTGCAGTGTTACAGGGCCTCAGCACCGGCTAGCTCAAGCGAGGCTACCGACCATACAAAACACCCTTGTTTTGCTTGATACATATGAACTTAATGCTGTGGGAACTTTGAAGGTATATCTGCGTGAATATCTGTCTGGGAGATCAGCAGATCGGCTTGGGAACCAAGGTCGACTTGGTTTTTCTTCTTGAGTAGCCTTTGAAGGATAGTATATCTCGAAAATTGATTTGTCCTACATTCACTTAACTACTAGTAACACAAATGCCATCACGTTCCTCTTCTAGCTGCCTTGGAAAATTACGCGAAAGGGGTCACGTGACATACATATGATGATGATCGGTTTGAAGGCTGTTCTAAAAGTGCACAAGTGTGCGAATATCCCTCCCGACAGAGTACACGCCCTTTCCGTTAAACAACCACTATGGACACTGCTCGTTTTTCCTGCTTGAGTTCATACAAACCGAACCAAAATCCACGTGTTTTGAACCAAGATCGTAGACACCTCAGCCTAGGAAAACTGCAAGTTCTTTAGCATACCGATTGGGCCACCGAGTTCACAGGATGGAGGGAAATAGCTCCTGAACCATGGATCAAAAACTGTTGGACCAAGGTGCAGAAGGTAAACCGTACGGCAAAAAAAAACAAGAAGTAGGTGTGTTTTGCAGGCAGGGATTATAAGGTAGCACACGAAAATTACCTGCTGTGATATCCATAGGGTTAAATGGTGAGTTAGGATCTGCCAGAAAGAAGAGGGAACGTTTTATCCCTCGATGCAATTCGCTGAAGAAGACGAGAGAACACAAGTGTGGTGAGCAAGTTATTACCTACCTACCTGATTCAGTTTACTGAAAATTGTCGTCGCTGGAGCTCAAACAGTTGGTTGAACAGAATGTTGTATATTTGCTCTGTTTTTCAAACGTTTCATCATTTATTGCTAAATCACTTTCTTCCGTTTTCAGCTCTGTGTCAAAGTTTTGGATGAATAAAGCCTAGCTTTCGGGCCCTCCGTCTTTTCCATTGCCATTCTGATTGTCGTTGCACTCTGACCCTCGTCGTACACAACACAGAAGTAGTTAGTAAGCGAAAAGATATCCAAGTATTGAGGTAACTGTGTATGAATGGTGCTTCCCACACTACTCAGTCGAGTGTGTCAAGCGTTCCTCACCATACTTGATACAATGCCTGTGGTATTCGGATGACGAGGTTGTGTTCATTCACTAGGCACGACTACTTGTGTGTCAGTTCGTGGTCCGGTCGACAACTCACCCAGTTTTGAATCAATGACGAAAACGTGACTGCGTCGTTGACAGGAGCATATCTAATAATCTCACACCCCGTTGATAGCATATATGAAAAACGAAGTCGACTTAATTCATTTCGTCAGAATATCAAGAAAACGTTTCGGTTGCATTTATACGTCACAAACACAAACATGCAACACCTATATGTTTGCCAGGCTCGAAAGAGTCGGTCAAGACTAGTTGGAGAGTAAACAATGCAGAGAAAGACTGGACCTAACCGTGGTGTGACGGTTTGCGTGCCTCGATAACCCATTGAGCTATACAGGGGTGGCTGCAATACACTCGAAGTCTCTCATACCAGGTTGGTCAATAGTTAGAGCTCTGACAAACACAGTCTCTTGGTCCTCCAGGTCTGGGGTTTGGTCATGTACAGCAACCTGTGCAGTAAAAATTGAAACGCACTTGCGTTTCCCTCCAAACACCACTGCCCTGTGGTCAGGCTTTTGAGCGAAAAGCTGATTTAGGACTCCAATTGTCCTCCTGTTTAGGTGTGGGCGCCCAGATACTATCCAGGCCCATATATGACCATAAATTGCACATACACAAGTAAACCCTTGCCACAACAACCGTCGCGTGGTGCCATCAGCCGGGTCGCCTTACTCGTTGCATACAGCAGGGCGGGTAAGTGAAAACACGCTTCTGCCGACGCCTCTCTTATCTCTTTTTCACATACTTCTTCCCTCTCCTCTACCCCCTCCCCTTGTAGGCCCAGCAATTAGGACTGATGACTCCGTTTGTCTTGCATCTGTCTTGCGTGTAGCATCCGGTCGTCACATGGCGCCAATACCGTCCAGACCAATTTTTAAGCCTCGACACCCAGTTTATCTGGCTGCGTTCAATGTCCGCACTTTGAAGCAAGCAGGACAACAAGCTGCTCTTGTTCTCACACTGGACTCGCCTGGCATTGATGTGTGCTGTGTCTCAAAAACAAGAATTCAAGATGCAAGCACAATGATTGAGCTAACCGCCCCATCACTTTCCACTCGCTTCAAGCTGCGTACCTCTGGTGATCCAGAGGCTGCTGCGGCGGGATGTGCAGGGTTTAGTATCGTCCTGAGTCACCGGGGGGAAGTATCCTTCCTTGAGTGCATACCTGTCCAGAGTCACCTGTGTGCTATTAGTCTGACAACGTCTTTTGGTTGTGTCTGTCTACGCCCCAACTGACTGTAGCTCTGACATCATCAAAGACAAGTTTTATGACGCTTTGAAAGCCCTGTTGCGGCGGGCTAAAAGCCAAGGTATCACTGTGGTTGCCGGAAACCTGAACGCACAAGTGAGCAGACTTGGCAGATCTGGGGGCGAGATGGCTCAGGTGGTTGGAGCGCGAATTTACTGACCGGAAGGTCCGTGGTTCGAACCCGACATCTGTCTCTCGACTTCCCCTGTCTAGGCTTGGGCAACCTGGCAGTATCCCAGCTCTCGTGCTTCTTTCGGGTGGAATGGTAGTTAGGCACCGGAAGGGTATTACAGCTGAGAGATTTTTTGGTGGATCTGAGACATGGATTAGACTCGTTGCGTAGGGACAATGGGGGACGATTGCTTCAGCTGTGTGCTGACCGCAGGTGGTTTTGCACAGTACTAGTTTCAGAAATAGCACAATTCACCTGGCCACATGATGTCCTCCAACAGTGTGCCGAATACGAACTTAAATTGATCATATTGCCATCAGTTACCAATGATGTAGATCAGTAACTGACTGTCGCTCGTTTTGAGACACATTTGTGGATTCCGACCACGCGTTCGTCCGGAGTCGCTTATCCCTTCGTTTTGCAGGGCCGCGTATGGTGTACAGATCGCCTGGCAACTGATAGACGCGGAAGAGGCCCAGAAATCCGGTAATGCCCGAATATTATTTCAGTTGATCCGTGTGACCGGTCCCCGGAAACCACCTGTGAATGAAAACATCAAGCAACGGAATGGAACGACCATCTCGAATAAAAAGCGTCTCGAGCGGTGGGCTGAATACTTCGAACAACAACTATCATGGCCACCAGCTGGCACTCAGGTGAAGTAGAGCCCTGGACGGTGAACGTGGAACCACATATACGGCCTCGGAGGTTTACGATTGCATATATTCTCTCAAGCCACCAAGTTCCTGCTCCAGAAAACCTCCCACCTGCACTGTTCAAAGATGGGGTTGAAGTCCTCAGTCAGCGTTTTTCTGGCCTGTTTGCTTGTATTCGGGAAAAGGAGTCTGTCTCAGACAACTGGGGAGAGTCCGTGGCAGTATCCATTCTCAAAAAAGGGTCTCGTAGTGAGTGTGGCAACCACCGAGGGGATCAGCTTGACCCCAGGAATAACGAGACTGTTGGCGTCACTTGTGCTTCGTCGACTTATGCTCGTGAGACACTGACTCGAGGACGGTAAGTGGGATTCCGGCCTGGTAGGGGTTACGTTGACCAAATATTCACACTCCGCCAAACGCTAGAACAACGCCATACGTATAAGCAACCCACAATGCCAGTAGTCCTGGATTTCCGAGGCGCATTCGACTGGGTTGATCGGTCTGTTCTTCTTGAGATGCTTGCCCACCAGGGAATGCCCTAAAAGTTTGTCAACATTGTATGTTCTTTGTATTCTCAGACTTCTGGAAGTGTGAGAGCGTACAGTGAGCTCTCTAAAGGCTTCCGTCAGGGATGCCCACTTCGTGATCGATGAAATCAAGAAACGAACGCTGGAAGGTCTCCAAAACCCTGGTGTTTAAATAGCCTGTGAAGAAAACCTTGTCGATCTGGAATATGCAGACGACATCGTTCTCATGTTCGAAGAGGAGGA